ATACCCCCCACATCACCCCTACACCCAACCGTCAACCCCCCCTCCCCCCACACCCACCGCCCTAGCCCACAATTTTGACACCCTCAGCCTCCGTGACCCCACATGGTACATGGACACGGGAGCATCCCACCACATAGCCTCCGACACAGGTACACTTTCTCATGTTCGTTCTCATTCTTTAAATTCATCTTCATACATCACTGTTGGTAATGGTTCTAAAGTTCGCACTACGGCTACCGGTAATTATCAATTCCCTACTTCCCCTCCCTTGTCCCTACATAATATCCTGGTATCCCCCCATATTATCCATAACCTTATCTCTGTTAGACAATTTACCCGAGACAATAGTTGCACCGTTGAATTTGACCCCGCTGGTTTTTCTGTGAAGGATATGCAGACAGGGTCCGTGATTCATCGGTCCAATGATGTTGGTCCACTATATCCCATGAGCCCACCCACTACCCAGGCCCAAGCCCATGCTGTCACCGCTGATCCAGAGCTCTGGCACCGGCGTTTGGGCCACCCCAGCCATGCCGTTCTTCGTGGAGTCCCCAGTTTATCACAGTGTCTTACTAAACAATTTCAACATTCTTTATGTCATGCGTGTCAATTGGGAAAGCATGTTCGCCTCCCATTTATGTCATCGAGTCGTATTTCTATTTTTCCATTTCAACTTCTACATACTGATTTGTGGTAATCCCCCGTTCCCAGTGTTACAGGCTTTAAGCATTATATGTTACTGTTGGATGATTTTTCTCATTACTTATGGATTTTTCCCTTGCGACATAAATCTGATGTATACTCTCATCTTAAGACTTTTATTGCTTACGTGAAAAATCAATTCAACACCACCATTAAAGTTGTACAATGCGACAATGGCACCGAATACCGAAACACCCCCCTCAAAACAATATTCGAGAGCCTTGGCATCACCTTTCGTTTTTCTTGTCCCCACACCAGTCAACAAAATGGACGGGCGGAACGCACCATTCGCACTATTAACAATATTGTCCGCTCTCTTCTCTTTCAAGCCAATCTTCCTCCCAAATTTTGGGTCGAGGCCCTCTCCATGGCCGCTCACCTGTTCAATATATTGCCCACCACCACCCTTAACTCCCGCACACCTCACGAAGTTTTCTATGGCCAACCCCCCACATATTCCCACCTTCGTGTATTCGGTTGCCTTTGCTACCCAAACATCTCTGCCACTGCTCCTCACAAGCTAGCGCCTCGCTCGACTCGATGTGTTTTTCTCGGGTATCCGTCCAACCAACGTGGTTACCGGTGCCTTGATCTCCAAACTCATAAGATCATTGTTTCTCGTCATGTCGTCTTTGATGAACACTCTTACCCCTATAGTCACTCTTCCACTCCCGATGAACTGGTTTTTCTCGACTCCACGGAGGACGACCCCAACCTCTACCACCTCCAACCCACGGCCCAACCCC